ATATCTCCACACAGATAGAGAGCGTGAGCGTGAGCGAGAAAGAGAGAGAGAGGGCAACGACAGCAATTCGCAACGCATAAAATGACCAATTCGAACCATCGCCATCATCGAATCGATGTAAGTAGAATATCTTATGTACATACATTATACATGTATGTCCTTCTCTGGATGCCAGCAAATATGTTTGTATGTGTCTCTAAATACATATATATATATGTATGTTGCTCCATTCACACGAAAAGCGTCATAAAACGTAAAGAAAACAGAACCTTGTTTATTTTGTGTGTGGGCGGGTGTAGGCTAAACCCATATTGGTAGCGCTTATGAGAATCTGGTGTTTCCTTTACTTTGTCTCGTCTGTTTAGCTGACTGGGAATGCAATTTAAGCGCAGTGCCAACAACAATCAAAGCAATAAAAGCCAAAGGCAACAATAAACAGCTTCATTGCCTCTCATTGGCTATTCCATTTAAAAATATCCGCGAATGTGTGTAAGTAATCTATGAGTATATGCTCATAGTTGTTGCTCTTTTGTTTGCGCGCATCAGCCACAACACTCACCCGCACACACACCACTCGCACATAAACTCCAGACAGCGAGACAGTCAGTCAAACAAGATTACCGCCCTTCGTCCTACTTCCCTCTTATACACGATTGCAGTTGTGTTTTGCTCATACACACATACATACATACATGTATATACATTTATTTCCTTTTATGATTTCTTTTATAGCAAGTTGGTTCTTTGTCACGAGCAAAATGTCGCCTTTGTTGGCGTTGCACGCTGTTGCTCTCATGCCCTAACCGCTCCTAAAAGTGTAAGTGGCTGCTAACCCAACCCCAAACTTGTCTCACTGTTTGTCTTTTTACACAAGTTAACAGCGACTTAAGCAAAAGTGCAATAAACTCGTTGACGTCGACCCCACTGTCGTAACTGTTCACATCCAGTCTAGCTCCCAGCTAATGACCAGTGTTAGGAACTTCTTTGAAGTCTTCAATACATATACACACATCCACACAGACGAAGGTTAGCGTAAGAGTGTGTTTGACTCAGCGCTAGACGTCTAATTGGAAGCAGAGTGCAACAGCCCGCAATCCACTCTCCGCTTATAAAGTTGCCCAACCCATGCTAATTGCCTGAAGGGGAAGACGGAAGGTGTCTGATTTTGATTTGCGTTGTAGCTATCGTTCTTAGCTGTCTAAAATGGATTAAAAATGTACATGAGTCAATCTGACTATGAGTGTGTGTGAGTTCTCGTTTACAGTTAGATTGTGTCTAGATTGCTGTTGAAAATAAGTTAACAGCAATAACAACAAATGCAAACATTGACCACAGGGAAAAACAGCTGACATGAAATTACAACTGTCTGGCAGCACTATGCATGCAGTTAAAAAGTGAATGCAAACATATGTACATGTATGTATGTAAATACAGCCATTCATAGTGTTAGTGGTGGTGGTGTTGGTGGCGCTTTAAACGCAGCAGTGGAATTTTAGTTGGTTCCATGCCGACATTTGTTTTTGTTTGTCAAACGCTTGCGCTCTCTCACTCTCACTCAGTTGCTCGTCCGTTCGCTCTGCCTTCGGCGCGCACACACATACACTCATACCTACGCTCTCATTGAGACTTTCGTGCTGTTATTTTTGTGGGTGCATTGTACCGCCCCCTCGCACGCATCTGGCGCGCGCTCTATAGTATATGTTTGTGTGTGTATGTAGTGTGTGTATGTGTGTAAGTGTAAGTGTGACCCCACATGCATTTTCGAGGCCCGAGCAGAGCGCATTCGAGCTGCAGCTGTTCGCTGCTCGCTCAGTTACCATTCTGTGCTCTGTTGTTATCCATGTCGTCGCGTTGTTGCGGTCGTCGCTGCGCTGTCATTGTCTCGCGTGTCTGCATTTACTCTGGTTGTGTGAATTTGGTTTTTCCAGCGCATCCACATAACAAAAAGTAAAAAGTCAAAATTATTTGTGTAGAAATCTTTGAAATTCTTTTGCTGAATTGGTGCGCGTACTATGTAAATCGTCGCACAGTAATTAAATAAGACGAATTCAACAGAAATTAAACATTATAAAACAAATGGTACGCGATGTTTTTATATTTTAATTATTTATTTAGTGTGTTTTTTTTATTATCAACTGGACATGTAAAACTTAAGTGTAAATGTATTAGTGCTCGCTCTTACACATATGTGCTCGTGAGTGTGACTGGTGTTTTTGCATACATATAACACTTTATTACAGTTGCCTTTAGTTTGTGTGTGTTTTTTTCTTGTGTGTCGTCAGCTGTTCTCTGTTCTTTATCGCTGTCTGTTTTGCGCTCCAACGGTAGTTGGTCCCACACTGCTGCAAAAGGGAAATTGTTATGCTTTTGTAATTTAGCTGTCTCTCTGTGCCTCTGTCTATGGTGATAAGGTTTAATTCTTTTTCATTGCTTTTATTGCGTCTCGCTTTTGATTGTTATTTGCGTGCTCGCATAATTCTTTTTAGGTACATCATGCAAAAAACACGCAGACAGATGCACGTACGCACATACATACATACATACATATGTATATATATTGTACATATGTACATTCATATAGATAACTGTATGTAGCACAGATATGCACACGACTGACCCAGTTTTCGGTGACCTTGTGGCCTTCGAGAGGCCCATATACAGATTGTCATATACTTTTTGTATATACATGTACATATGTAAGTATGTATATCAGTGCAATAGACTCGCCAATTGACACACAGCTGACTGCATGACTGGCTAGCTGGGCTGTTTGATTTGGCCATGGCTTATATAAATGCAGTTCGCTTCCCAATTTTTTTTGTATTTATATTCGAATACAAATATAAATAGCTTTTATATGCAAACACATACATACATATGCATATAGGTTTGTTGTTCTTCTGTCCATTACATTTGGTCGAGGTCGCTGTCCATAAAAGCAATAAGACAACAGTATTCGATATGCAGAGTTTGCATTTTTAATATTGTTTACTTTTTAAGACGATCAACACATTGTCTCTATCTCTTTCACACGTAGCCATTAAGCACTCTCTCGCTCTCTCGTCTCTTAGCACCTTTGCGCTTTTATTTTTGCGTTTGCTTTTGTACCGCAATTGCGTTTACGATTCCAATTTATTTTCGACATTATGCCTCTCAGCTGTTCGTAGAGCGTGTTTTTCATCTTCTTCTTTTTTTGTGAGACTTGGGCTGTAGCTTCGACGTTCCTAACAAATCAGTGTACAACGTCCAGATAATAGTGTACCCAGAATCACGTACTCGAGCGAGGGCAGCTCATGTATTATTAATTATAAACGAATGCATATATTGTTGATTGATGTAATTATTGATCATACATTGTTCATTGTTTTTTTTTTTATGACAAAACAAATTTAATTGTAATATCAATTACTTCTCAAACGGCCCTCGGGAAAATAATCAAAACTTCTGCCTTCTGTGTGACCGTCGCTTCTCATTGTGGCAAGTGAAAAGTGTGCACCTAATCATGCGAAATGAATTGAAGCCATTTAGTTGAGTTAAAATAAATAAGAATTTTGATGTGAGATGATTTCACACGAGCCATGAAACATGCGATAACTGTGTGCTCACCCCTCTCTCGCTCTGTCTCTTTCTTTCTCTTTGTTGCTGTTTCCGCTCAGCCCTTTCAGTATGCTATTCCAATGTAAGTGCATCATAGTACGATTTGTGTATCATATCCGTTACATAGATTCGCATAGATTTGACAGTATAAGAGTTGGCCATATAAGAGCATGTTGATAGTTGTTGCTGCGAGCCATTGAAGCAAGGCTACAAATTAACATAGACATAAAGACATGAACATGCAACGTGTGTGTCATGCATGCCTTTTTAAATTCATATGTATATTTGCATTTTACTTATATAAATACCAATTTAATTTAAAAGCGTTGTCGTTCATCGCATGAGTCCTCCAATCAGCAATTTAATGATCTTTAATGTGACAAATAATTCACCATTATTGATATCTATTGTAATATATTACATGCATATGTATGCATGTAGGCACATAAGTCTGTGTATGTAAATGTGTGTCCAGTAATAACAATTAGGAAAAAGGAATTTGAGGTCTTCTCTTAGGCTACAGTTTGCTTTTGCTCGCTCTTTTGATTTGCTTAAGCTTCGCTTTTGATAAATGAACACGGATTGAGTAGCGACATTTCTATTGTGACTACTCTTATATGTATGTATATATTTATGTACATAAGTGTTTATATATTGAGCATCAACTTTATAAATGAACTACTTATTTATATGTATATGAATAATACGTCATGTTATATTCATTATTTTCATATTAATATTTATACACACATACTCGTATGTCTACATGTCTCAATGTAATTAAGGTTTGCATGTATTTTTGGTCACTCGCTGCTTACTTCCAGTTATTGAGCCGATCATCAAGTTCCAATCAGCTGGTCTGCTGTAGGCTTGTATGTATGTATGTGTGTGGTTTTATTCTTTGGTCGCTTTACTCGAATTCGCAACACGTTCGATTGCCTTGTTAAATTGGCTTTGATGGTTTTTCATTTAAGCTGAATGCCATACACTTTAAATATATTGATGTATATATAATGGGGAGGGGGTGAGGAATAAGGGGAGTTGGCGCATGGTCATTGACTGGTCGTCCGTTTTTGGGGTCTCAGTCGGAGGCATAACGCGAAGCGTGTGAGTTGTCAATTATGCGCGAGGCAGAAAGATCAGATGGCCATATAGGTTGAAGACAAATATAAAACGATATATGTATGTATGTATGTATGTATGTATATATATGTATGTATATGTATTACATTATAAAGAAATTCATTTGCATTTGCATAAGTTGCAATGTGACGACGTCAACCTTGGGTAATATTATAATGTCTTTTAATATGTATTTCTGTTGTTCTATTTCTCACGTGCGCGCCACGCGTAGCTATAAAGTTAAAAGCTAAACCAAATATCGAAACAAAAGCAACAATAATAAAAATAAAAAATGAAAAAACAATTCAACAAACACAAGTTCCTGGTGTAAAAAAAAGAGCAAAAAAGTGCACTCGTTACGAAGAGAGGCGGGGTGAATGATTAACTAAACGCTCTTGATTAAATACGCGATTCGAAGAGCAGCAACGCAAGAGAGCGCGACGAAGTCTCTTCATTATAAATTTATGGTTTGTTTTCGTCAAGCAGCCGCAGCAGCAGCCAACAACAAACAAAAGCCGAAGAGAGGGGAATATATCACGACATAACCAAATACGCAATTTGTGAATAATTTAATCGTGCATTCACACGAAGACGCAAACAACAGCGAGCAACGGTTAAGGCCTATCTCCCTCTCTCTCTTTCGCTCTCTCGCTGAGTGAGTGAGCGTCAGTGAGCGTCAGTCGAAGAGTTGAAGCTTTAAAGAACACAGGGCAAAAGAAAGACTAAAGCGACGCTACTAGACGCTAGCGTTTTGCGTTTGAAGAGCTTACACAAACCCTTGATGTTTGCGCGTAGTGGTATTAGTGCTGCGCCCAATAGTGGCAGTGGCAGAGGCAGTGCTGATGACGGGGGTGGTGGCGGTGGCGGTGGCGTCGGCAGTGGAGGTGGTGGCGGAGTCGCTGCTGGCAGTATTGAGTTGCTGTGTCCACCCAGCGGCAGCAGCAGCATTAGCGGTAGCGGAAGTTTCAGCAGCAGCGGCGCCAGTACAACGGCAACTAACAGCACCAGCGTCAGTGTAGGTGCGTTGACGCCAGCCGCTGCTGCCGACTTGTTGGACGACAGCGCAGAGAACAACAACAATGCGAATGCCAATCGAAATTTGAGCTTACAGCTGAGCAATACCAGCAGCAACAGCAGCAACAACAACAATGTGAACAACAATAATAGCCACAGTAATGGTAACGGCAGCAGCGGCGGTGGCAGCGGCAGCACAAATCTAATCAGTGGCATCTGTAGCAGCATTTGGCGCACAGCGACCTTTGGCAGCGCAGCGCCCATCGCCAGCATTATGACTGTTAACAGTAACAGTAACAGTAACAGCAGCAGCAGCAGTAGCAGTAGCAGCAGCAGCAGCAGCAGCAGCAGCAGCAGCAATAGCGGCAGTGGCAGTGGCACCTGCAGCGGCGTCAGCGCCAGCTACTCATCCAGCGCCTCCTCAATTTCGCCAGCAGCAGATGAAGCGTGCGTTGTAGAGCAGCAGCAGCAACAGCAGCGCACACAAATGCAAATGCAGCTCGGTGTGGAACAGGACGAGCCCGTAAGATTAAACACAAAAGAAAACAAAGACAAATCAGAAAAACAAAAACAAAGAAAAAACAAATACAAATATTGCTTTGATTTTCGGTTTCCACTCCATTCACTCGATATGGCATCTCTCAGCGGTCATTCATCAAGGCTATCATTTTGTACATAGCCCCACGTCTCGCCTCGCCCTGTTGTATTCTCTCTCCTCTATCTTTCTCTCTCTCTCTCTCTCTCTCTTTCTGTCTCGAGCATTGTTCATCAATTAATTTGTTCTTTTCGTTTATTGTTTGAGCATTGTTTTTGGGGCAGCCTCAATTAAGATTGGAGTCAATTGTTTTGTTTTGGTACGACAATCGCATCAATTTCTAATAAACAACAAATTACTCCATATACATATATTTATTTAACCCTTGTGTGGGTGTATATACATCCGTGTGTGTGAGTGTGTGAACGCTGGCTCATGACTTTGTCATTCATTCACAGCAAACATTCCTAGGCGCCACCGAAGTGGACGATGAGCTAATCAAACAACTGCCAAAGGAGGTATTGCTGCGCGTTTTCTCCTACCTGGATGTCGTCTCATTATGCCGCTGTGCCCAGGTGAGTCTCTCAATATCAATATGCATACAGATTGAACTAAATTAATTGTGCGTAGGTGTGCAAATATTGGAATGTGCTCGCCTTAGACGGTTCCAGCTGGCAGAAAATCAATTTGTTCGATTTCCAACGTGATATCGAGGTGTGTATTTAATCGTTATGCATAGCTTGAGTTACATACCTACATTTAATTATCATTATGCTTTTTCTTCCCTTTCGCACGTCGTTCACTTAGGGTCCGGTGATCGAGAATATATCGCAACGATGCGGCGGCTTTCTCAAATCCCTATCGCTACGTGGTTGCCAATTCGTGGGAGATCAGTCCATAAAGTAAGTAAAAAAAAATATATTTACGTATATATACATATGTATATATATACAATAAATTTAAATTCACTCAAAGGGAATGGAGTGCGTTTTAATTGCTGCACTCAATCACATGCCCTCATTAATCTCTCACATTACTGTTAATCATTGTGAAGCAGGCAAAAAAAGAAACTAAGCAAGGGGAGTGAGAAGAAGAAGAGATAGCAAAAGAGCATCACTCACAAAAGTGAGAGCGCAATTACGAGTGCAGCAACAAAATCTCACTCAATTCGTCTGCTATCGTGTTGAAGCAAGCTTAAAAACCAACAACAAAATTCAACTTTGCTCAAAGGAAAGAGAGAGTGAGAAACATTCAATGAAACACAAGGGAAAAAACTACGTTACACAGCTGACTATTGAAGTTGTGTAAAAGAGAGTCCAGCGCAATAAAACGAGAGGATATAGAGACAGTTATTTCCTTTTGTGTGTGTGTAGTTGGAATTGTCGTGACTTAAACCGAAAGAATTGAGAAATTGAAAACATGTTCATATTATTAATCATGGATTCGATTCCAAATATTAATTTAATAAAAAATGTTTTTTAATTATGCAGAACTCTAGCAAATCACTGCCACAACATCGAACACCTGGATCTGTCGAAGTGCAAGGAGATCACAGACAACGCGGTCGCAGAAATAAGCAGATACTGCAGCAAACTGACTGCAATCAACTTGGACTCCTGCTCGAACATAACAGATAATAGCCTCAAATATATATCGGATGGCTGTCCGGTAAGGCAACACGATATTCGACATATTCAGAAAAAAATTAAATAATTTGCGTGTGTGTCTATTTTGTAGAATCTGCTGGAGATCAATGTGTCCTGGTGCCATTTGGTGTCCGAGAATGGAATCGAGGCGCTGGCACGCGGTTGTGTCAAACTGCGAAAGTTCAGCAGCAAAGGTTGTAAACAAATAAACGACAATGCCATCACGTGCCTGGCCAAATACTGTCCCGATCTAATGGTGCTAAATCTACACAGCTGCGAGGTAACTGGCTAATTAATAAATGTTATAGAAATTTGGGGAATTAAGCAAATGCCCAGTTAATACTGTTTTTCTAGGTGTCCATATAGGAGCTCAAAATAAAATATCTAAAGCTTTGACTTAATGTGACATATGAAGTGTTCTATATCCTATATCTATAGCTATATCTTTGTCTTTGCAGACCATCAGCGACACGTCCATACGGCAGTTGGCCGCGTGCTGCCCTCGACTGCAGAAGCTGTGCGTGTCCAAGTGTGTGGAACTAACTGATCTCTCGCTGATGGCCTTGTCGCAGCACAACCAACAGTTGAACACCTTGGAGGTGTCGGGCTGTCGCAATTTTACGGACATTGGCTTTCAGGCGCTGGGCCGTAACTGCAAGTACCTGGAGCGCATGGATCTGGAGGAGTGTAGCCAGATAACGGATCTGACGCTGGCTCACCTGGCCACCGGCTGTCCCAGTCTTGAGAAGCTGGTAAGCTGCCTCAGCATATCCCATAATTGAGTCAATTTAATGTAATGTTCGTTTCTTTTGCAGACGCTGTCGCACTGCGAACTGATTACGGACGATGGCATACGGCATTTGACCACGGGCAGCTGTGCAGCTGAGAGTCTATCGGTGCTAGAGCTGGACAATTGTCCATTGATCACGGATCGAACGCTGGAGCATTTAGTGTCGTGCCACAATTTGCAGCGCATCGAGCTCTTTGACTGCCAGCTCATTTCACGCGCGGCCATACGCAAGCTGAAGGTGGGCGTGGTAGCAGCTATATACATATATATAAATATTTGTACATTTATAGAGTATATATCATTTGTTAAACTGTCTGTCTGGTTTGCAGAATCATCTACCAAATATCAAGGTGCACGCCTATTTTGCACCTGTCACACCGCCCGCTGTGACAACGGGGCATCGTCCAAGATATTGTCGCTGCTGTGAGATTCTCTGAGATACGGCCATTGGCTTTGCCAGAAGGATAATGCGCAAATCTGCCACGGACTGATGTTGGCCTGTTTGCATCATCCTGATTGCCATGCTCCTAAGCCTGATGCTCATTGCGATGTTGTATTATCTCAAATTGCTTGAAGGCGACGACTATTGAACGATGGACGATAGACGGTGGATGGTGGATGCTGGATGGTGGATGCTGGAATACTGGAATACTGGAATGATGGATGATATGTGCAGGAAGCAAAGCAAAACACAGCTACGCTCACACATAAACACCTACACACCCACAAACACACACACACACACCGATAGAAACTGTGTATAACTAAAGCAAGATTCTAATAACTCGATATTTAAGCATTCGAAACACACAAAAATTGTAACGAAATTCGTTTTACTAAAACGAATCGAAGCAAAACACTTTTAATAGTCTTTAGTTTTATTATTTCGAAAGAGTTTCTAAAACTCTGTCCTTCAAACATGTAAAATTGTGATTATTTTATTTAATACGCTAAGCTGTTATGTTAACTGGATAACGTTTAATGATTTTTGTGTGTATTATTAGCTATTATTATTTGTAATGTTTTCGTATTTGTTTCATTTATCTTATACGTATTTTCTGTTTTACATCTAAGAATAATTGTCAATCAAATTAGCTAAACATGTTTTGCTTTTGCATGTAGATATACGTACATATATATACGTATATGTATGTATACATATATTTTCACTTGAATATTTTCTATAATTTCAAACACACACACACGCTCACACAAGCATACACATACAACTTGCTTGCATGCTGTTTAGGTGTTGATAAAATTATGATTTTATGATTAGTGAGAGCAAATGCATATAATAACTAATATATGTGTATATGTATATATATATACATAACTGAGATTTTAATCAAGTCTAAAGATGTCGATAGAACCACAAAGCGTTCACCCACACACACAACTACACACACAGACACCTTACAGTCAATGAATACTTTTAGGCTAATTCCCAATATAACTGTTGCTATATTCCGTTCTTTCTTTTTTTTTTATTTAGTGTCAGCTAAATCATATGTAAGCATATACATATATTTAACAAAGAACATTATACATTATGCACTATGTATACATATATATAGTCACACACACACATTGGCATAGATGTGCTTGTGTTTGTGTTTGGCTGCACACAATGTCAACGAAATACAAATTGTATATTAAACCATAACAAATCGAAAACAAACAGAAACTGAAAACAAAAACAAAAAACGAGAAAAAACAAAAAACTACAAATAGTAACCGTTCAAGTGCAAGCAAATCTTTTACACACAAATAAACAAACAAACAGATGGATCACGTTTCTAAAACATTACATAAACACACATGGTAAATAAATCAATATATATATATATACATTATGAGAAAACAAAATATATATATATTTAATTATATAACTCTATACATGTATAATTGTCTATTTTGTAAATGTATTCCACACAAAATGAAGAGCGGGTGTAACATTTCAAATTGGAAATAATTTTGGTCATCTCCCTTTCGAGTTTCTACCAATTGGTTTTTACACAGGTTTCTTATACGAACTAAAGCTATTTATACCGCTTAGCTGGGGTATCAAGAAACCGAGCTTATTTCTAATAAGACTAGAAGCTATCTTATTGGTGATTACGCATATAGACATACATCTTAGTAGAGTAAACACAAGGCACGCTGCCAGTGGGAATTTAATATTTAATATGTGTAAATTTATTTGTTGTGCTTAAAACTAAATGTAGCATTTAAAATATCGATTGGTTGCCTCATCTAATGGCTTGTAGCTAAACAATCTATAGCTAATTAACTAGTAATTTATGTGTTTCTATAATATATGAACCAATAAGTGCATCAATAGTTTTATGAAACCATCAACTTTAATTAAAATTACCTTAAGGTCTATACAAAAAACAGAAAAAAAAACAAATATTTATTTAACTAAATAAAATTAGCAAAGCTTTCGAAGGTGAATATGTAAGTACATACATATGTGTGCAAGATAAGATTTTTAATTTGGGTATGTCACAGAAATATTTAAAATTAGCGCGCATTTCAGTGGTGCCCTATTCAGAAAAGAGTAATAAAGTAAATAAATGTAACAGTTTTCTCGATAAGTAGCTATCGTTCAGCCACCACAGTTATCGCCGTTATCGCCCAATGGTTATGAGATACTTTTCGATTGGAATCGAGTTGTAGTTGTATTAGTTTGCGGTAGACGAAGGCATATCGAAATAATAAACAATTATGTTGAGATTATTAACAATCTGTATCTGCAGGGAACATTCAAAACGTGTGTTTTTGTGTTGTGTGTGAACGCGCTTAATTATGCAAAACACAGCAGCAAAGACGCTCCTAACAGCGGTGAAAGTGTTGTTGTTGTTGTTGCAGCAGCGAAATTGGTTTTGTTCGCTAGCAGCAGTGACTGTGGTTCAATTTGTTGTGGTATTCGCTTTAGCAGCAACGATCAATTTTCCCTAATAAAGACAACAAAGTGAAACATAGGAGAAGAGAGCGAAAGAAAAGTGCGGTAGACAAGTGAATAACAAAAAAATCAAACAATTGGCTTTCTTCGTTTAATTATTTTTCGGTTTTCCGCCTTGTACGCCAATAAACTTGCAGTGTTGCTTGCGTTTACAGTGACACCCATACATACATAAATACAGAGATATGTATATGCTGTATGCTATAATAAGTTCAAGGAAAGCAGAAAGCAAAATGCGAGAAACAGAATGTGCAATGCAATAGTAAAAGAAAGAAAGAAATTGACGCCTGCTGCTTGGGCCTCGCCTCGCCTCTGTCCATTTCATATTATGTAAAAAGCAGCTCTGTTGACTCTGGTGCACCTGATTTTATGTGTGCGTGCAATAAATATTAATTCAATTCGAGCTGCATGCAATAATGTTCAAAACGAAGCCAAATAATCGATGTGCGAAAATTTACCGTTGTCGGCTGTAAGCTGGCGCGGGGGCAGCAGCAACAGCAGCATTTGCAGCAACAAAGCACAGCTGAGCGTCGGCGTCGGCGTTGCTTTATGTGTGCGTGTGTGTCTACGTTTGTGTGCAATTGAATAAGGAAGGAGTGGAGAAGGCGAATAACAACAGTCCCAATCGGAAGCAGGAGCAGGAGCAGCAGCAGCAGCAGCGGATCTGCGAAGCGAATCGAATCAATATTTATTATGCGAAAGCCCAACTGAACTGCAAAAATGTCCAAGTGAAGCAACTAAACTAATTGGCAACAAGAATATAATCGGAAAGCTGTGAGGCAACCTTGCAAGTTCTTTGCCCTTCTATTTATTCGTTTGTTAAACGGTAAGTCAGCCATTTTGATTACATTTCGCTTTGGTTTTGCGTCTTTAGCGAATTACGTACAATTTTGCATTACGTATGAAAATCTACTACTTATGTATATATGAAAAATATGTATGCATATAAATGCAATAACCATACATATACATAAGTGTGTTTTCTAGCATTTGAATTTAAGTATTAACAATGTTAATGACGGTTAGAATTCGAATTTCACAAGAGAACTTTGAGGATTGCGTTGCTGAGCTTAAAACTTGTTTCTGTTCTACGTGCGTGTGTATGTTTGTATGTATTAGTAGATGTATGAAAAGATATGTATGTATGTACTTCGCATAGCAACGTTCTACTATATGTATATAGATTATATATTATACATACATACATACATATACATATACAAGTGCTGCTCCTCATATGGGCATGAGTAAATGATTTCAATTCACGTCTCACTACGTCTCATTTCAATTTTTTGTGGACAGACAAACAGCAGAAGCACTAGCAGAAATAGCCGCCGCAGCAACCTCCCTTCTTCTCATCCATATTTCGTACACCCCCGCTGCAAGCGCACACGTTAGCTTTTGTTGTTGTTCTCTTAATCAGCTGTGTGAGTCTTGCCGACATCAACGTCGACGTCGTCGTCAGCTTTGCTTGGGTTTATTCTCTTCTGGTCTTTGCTGCAGACAAAGAAACTGTTAGCGCGCTCTTTCTCTCATTCACTCTCTCTCTCTCTTTCTCTGCCTGTCTTGCTGGGTATCCTTGATTTTTATTCGCTTGAGTTTTGAAGCGTTATTTTATTTCCTTTTGACTACGCCAGAAGCGGGTAGACAACAAAGAAAATGCTTGACAGATTAACTTAATGTGGGTAGATGTATGTGTATAAGTGCATCGATTTCATATTCACATCTTAAAGTTCATTAAGCGAGAGTTAATGAGAGATAACCATAAAGTGTAAAGTTAACAATTCAGCAGAGCTTAGAAATTACATACTTACATGCAAACATACATATACACTTGCATACTTACATACATACATATATTTAATACTAAACTATTTTTACAAAATTCCAAATGCAACGCATCTAATTGCTTGTACAAATTTCGGATGTTTAATTAATCTTTGAATAGTCGCACTTAATTTTAGCTGATTTTTTTGTGTATACCACTATTGTGTTTTGCTATAACTCTATAAAGAAGTATAGACACATAGGATTACACATATTTACATATATATATAACTAACTTTCACAGTAGGTGTGTTATACGTTTAAGGGAAGAGAAAGAGAGAGAGATTACTGTTGATCTTTTAAATTCATAGTTAATTTTGTAATATCTCCAAGTGCTAAGTAATGGCACTGCAATTTCAGTAATGTTATCTTATTGCTTAACTTCTTCCTGTTGCTTGATTTCCGCATTCGTCGACTTTTTATCTCGGGCTTATCGTTGATTTTTTATTCATTTTTCCCTCATTGTTCTATTTATTGTACATACCTGCGTGACTTCCAGCTCATGGCTAAGCATACAAACGTGCATACAAATATTTATAGATGTGTATATAGCAATGCGTAAATCCATAAAAATTCATACTTCCATAAGACTCCTAGATATAGCCTGTAACTCTAAAGAGCTTCATGTAAAAATATTTTGATTCTTACTAACAAATTGATTAAATTGTGAAATATTTTAATTACTATTAGAATAAAGTGTACATGTATACGCATAAATATACTTACGTATGTAATAGATTGTTTTAGACATGATCATGCATATTTTACAATATTTTATTCATAAGCTTAAAATTCTCAAAAGGTAGTTAAGCATATAAAACAAGTAAGAAAGCTCTAGTCGAGACTGCTCGACTACGAGATCCCCTGAACCCTTGGAGCAATAGATATTTCAATACTTTTTCGCGACTTTCAGCTTACACAAGAAACACGCACACACACACACACACACGCACTTACGCACACACAGGTAAACATACACACACACGCATAAAGACACACATACACACACACACGCATACAGACACAAACGCATACACACACACACACACACACACACACACACATACACATACAAGCAACCACGCATAAACACGCATGGGCTGCAGTGTGCGCTTACTATGAGAACTTAATTGTTTAATAACTTTTTTTATGGACGTACGATCTTCATGAAACTTTTAGATTATGATTATAACATGAATATGCATGTACTTGCCAAAGCACGTCTCTAGTATTTGAAATACGCTTTTTACAAAAGTGAGGGTGAGGGGGTGAATTTAGAGGTGGGGGGTAAATTTTAACAAAAACCGAAATTGTATAAATTGCATATAAGCATACATTAAAAATTTGGAGACTCTAGCAATAAAGGTGTAGAAGATATAATTTTATAACTGGGTTTCGATAAGGTTTTTTATCGATAAAAAAAGATCGGGATGAGTTATCGATTTTTAATGATAAACTTGATATGCGCGCTGTAATTACGGACATTTTAAAAAAAATTTGAAGTCTCTAGCTCTTATATCTTCTGAAATCGACGCGTTCATACATACGGACAGACGGACAGACGGACAGACAGACGGACAGGGCCAAATCAACTCAGCTCGTCACCCTGATCAAGAATATATATACTTTGTGGGGTCTGCCACGCCTCCTTCTCCCTGTTACATACATTTCAACAAAACCATTATACCCTGATTTCCCATTGAAAATGGGTTCAGGGTATAAAAAGATTACCATAAGTAGAAATGTACACATATATTCAAGCATTTAAATGTACACCTACATATATACAAGATATACATACATACAAGAACAAAGTTGACGTGAAAAGAGAAGCGAAGAAATAGCTTGTTGCGCATATTGAAAAGTGAATAAATTCAGCGTGTTCTATTTTGTATGTAAATGCTGTTTTATATGATATGCATTTAACCTACTTTAGCTATCTCTAAGAGAACATTATTTATATTCCTTGATTTTTTAAAGAGCTCACTGAACGGAAAGGGTATTGGCAGGTCGTTAATGATTGTGAAATGTCAGAAAATGTTTTATTTTTTTCATCTCTCATTTTGAGTCAATGTCCAAGCGGTTGCGGTTGCGTTTTATATGGGCCTGCGGGCCAGATAACAGAATATAAAACGCACAGTGGTCTAAGCTTATCATATGTCGACAGCCAGTTTTATTTCTGCTGATAATCTGAAAGTTGGCTTGGAGGTGGAGGAGGTCATATATTAGTTGTGGTTGATAAAAAAAAAATAAATAAATTGAAAATTGTTGACAAAAATTTTGTATAACAGCAACGTCGCTTTAAAAACATTTGTGTGTGTGTGTGTGTGTGTGTGTGTGTGCTGCACCGCTTTAGAAATTAACAGACATTTAGGCGAGCTGTTACACACCAACACACACACGCACACATACAGTTTGCCCTCTCTTTGCGAGTTGATCTCTAAATGAGTTTCAATGAACACATCCTGAGGCATCGAGCTTCTTGAGTTATTTGCATTGCATTTGCTGTTTTGAGGGAGGCTGGTCACACTCACCACAATCGCAGTAGTAGTAGAAGCAACAGCAGAACTTGCTTTATTGTTTTGGAGACCCACGCTACGCAATATTTTCAAATTTTACCCCATTGCTATTTGTTGTAGTTGTTGTTGTTTAACGGACGCTAAGCTAACAAGGGGAAGCGAAGGAGAGTAGTGGGTGAAAAAGAGAGTGACAGAGAGAGAGGGAGAGTGAACTCGCTCAGTGACCCCGCCAGCACCGACGTTTCTGTAGCTGTTGCTGTTGCTGCTGCTTCCCGTTCCGTTGCTGTCCCAGCCGCAGCCGCAGCCGTCGCTCTCCTCCTTTTGCGTTTTATTTTACGTTATTTGGTTTTTGGGTTGAATGACTTTGGACAACGTGTGCGCAAAAAATAAAAAGAAAATAAGAAAATAAAGAGCGTAACATTTGAGCGTTGCCAGAGAGCCATTGAACCCACCAAAATGTAGACAGCTGATGGACGCCACTTTGTGTTAGAGAGACGGTTGGGGAGGGAGAGGGAGAGAATGAGGTGACTGTGAGTTAGAGATGGCCAGTGTGAAGGACTGGTATGTAGATGTCTCGTCGCACCCTTCAATAACAGTTACAACAATGCTTTCTTTTCTTTCCTTTTTTGTTATTTCTCTTAAGCTATGGTCTCATCTAACTTGTATAACGGAATGGGAGGGGGTTAGCTAGCTGATTTCAACGATTTTGCTTTGATTGATATTCGTGTGCATTGTTTTGGTGGAATTTGCGTTTCATTTCCATACAGAAACACACGCACATACACACACATGCGCACAGAATTTCTCTAAACACGTTAGCACAAAACAATTTGCTTAGAGACGCAAACACACATATGTACATATGTATGTATGTGTATGTATATATTTTTGTTGTGCTTACAAAAATAAACGGAATGGAGTCATCGCTCGACAAGAGATGACGCCTGCTTCTTTGACTCGACTCGTCTTGTCTCGTCTCATTTTATTTCATTAAAACTGATGCCAGCACTCAAAATTTAATTTAATTTTAAGACTCTTTTCCCCGCTAAATGTTAAATATGGTTGGATTCTTTGTTAGCCAAGTTAATCAAAGTGCGTCACTGCTCAAAAGTGATTTTTTATTGTTGCCAAATTAACATTATTATATACTTACAACTGTGTGTAAGTATGAGTAGATACATAAGTATGCATATCTAATTATGGATATATGTATGTATATGTATGTATATATTTTTTGTATAGTCATTAAATTCTATTTCATTTATAAATTGGAATATTTATTGCTCACATAAATGACTCATAAAAGTCTTAGGTAATTTTTGTACGAAATAATTAAAATATAAGCATATATAGTATATTGTATTGTACATTAGCTAAATTTTTCCGCCTTGAATTATTATATTACAGTGTGACAGTGATAAAAACGTGGATCTACGGTCAAGATCGTAAATAATATATGTATGTATATATACGTATGTCA